GGCTGGGGTTTGTTCCTGGGGGCGGGGGCGGGGCTGGGTGGGCGGAGACTGTAGGGTCCCACCTGGTCCTGCCTGCGCGCCGCCTGTGCCCACCTGACTCTGTGGGACAGTTGCCTGTGGACTGCCTGATCCTGGCTGAACATCTAGGAGAGACTTTAATGGTCCACGGCGACCTGTTTCCCTATCTGCCCACGTGACTGGTTGTGACTGCAGATGAGCATCACTCCACCTGCGGCTCTTAGTCTCTGACTTTCTGCCTGAGTGTCTAAATGATTATTTCTGTTTGGGTCTTCCTGCGTCTGGTGGTCTTTGTCTGTCTACCTGATTCTACCTTTTTGGGTTCATCTATCAGGCACCAACTCTTGCCCTGCCTGTCTCTGGCCCTCAAAACGTTTTATCTTCTAGGACAGAATATATCCCATGGTCCCTATTTGCTTGGCTCTCCCTCTCTTTAAATTATTTTTATTTTTCATTTTTTAAATGTTTTTTAAAGTTTATTTATTTATCATCTCTACACCGAATGTGGGGCTCAAACTTACAACCCCAAGATCAAGAGTCGCATGCTCTACTAACTGAGCCAGCCAGGCGCCCCTCTTTTTTTTTAAATTGATTTTAATTGATATCAACACTTTAAAATTCGCCTTTTGAAAGTGTGCAGTGAAGTGCTTTATGTTCAAACAATTGTGCAACCATTGCCACTCTCTAATCCAGAACATTCCATCGCCCTACCCTACCCCCAGTCTTCCGTAGTACTCTGCCTGTCTGGAACTATGTCTAGTAGTCTCTCCTTATGATTGTGTGTCTGAATTCGCCTGTGTCTGGTGGTCCCTGGCTGCCTGATTTCTGATTTCTTCCTGTGTGACCAGCCAGCTGGGTCTGACCTGTCTGGTATGTATGTATGTATGTATTTATATATTTATTTATTTTTTATCCCCATCTCTCCAACTCTGGTCACATGGGCCTATCTGTCTGGGTCTGAATGTATCTGTGCCTGAGTGTGCCCACAGGGCCGTATCTCAGCGCCTGTGTCTGGACGTTTGTCACCTTCTCTCTGCATATCTGATTACAACTCGATCTCACGGTGTCAGCGGCTGGCGGTGTTCTCTAAGCCTGTGCCCTTCACTAGTTCCAGCGAGCAGGACCTGCCCCGCCGACTGCACACCGCCTCTCAGTGTCTGTCGAACCATGCGAGCCACAAACGGCTGTGGAGCTGTGGCTTTCTGAGTGAAGGGGTGGCCACCTGCCTGACGTCATAGTCTGCGGCGACCGTGCACTTGTCTTATTGCCTGATCCCTTATTGTCCAGCTGTCTGTCTGAACAAATTACTGGCTGTCTCTCTGTTCTGACTGTCTGACCAGCCATCCAGGACTCCCAGTCCCCCCTCCTGTGGCCACAGAAAGACCCCGTCGCCCCTCACGCATTCTCCTTCTCTTGCGGCAGGCTGTGCCTTTGTGAAGTTCTCCTCCCACACCGAGGCCCAGGCGGCCATCCATGCCCTGCACGGCAGCCAGACCATGCCAGTGAGTAGGGCCCATCCCGGGGCCATGGTGCTGGGCGTGCGGAAGGGGGGAGGGGACAGGGACGAAACCTCTCCCTACTGGTCCCTCCATCCCGTAGCCTCAGGCTGTTCATCAGCAAGGCACAGGTGGAGAGAGAGGTGCAGTCTCTGATGGTGGTGTGGGTACGTGTGCGCATGTGAGTGTGCGATTGTGCATGTGTGGAGCATATGAGTGTGTGGGCGTGCACGGATGTGAGTGTGCACGGATGTCCTGCCGGTGTGTGGCGACATGTGTGTGTCTGTGTCTGTGTGTGTTTAAGAGAGAATATGTAAGTGAGTGCGTGTGGGTGTGGTTGTCAGTAGGTGATCGGTAATGTGCACAGGAGGTGTGTGTGTGTGAGAATATGTACGGGTGTGTGTGTGCTGAATGGGTGTGTGTGAGTGGATTGTGCGGTATGCATGTAGGTGTGTGCGCATGTGTGTTTATACGTGTGTGCTGAGCGCGTGTGTCTGTGGGTCTGTCTGGCTGATGTGGGGGGAATGAGCACGTTGTGCATCTGTGGGTATATGTGAGGGCAAGTGTGTGAGTGTGTGTGGAGGGGTGAGTGTGTGAATGTGCGTGTATGTGACTGCATGTGCACATGCGTGATTGTGTGCCTCTGACTGTATTGTGCGAATGCATGTGTACAACTATATGTGATATGCATGACGAGTGTAAATGTCTGTGAGTGTGTGTTTGTGTGGGTGGTGTTTGTGTGTGTGCAGATGTGCGTGAGCGTGCATAGTGAGTCTGCATGTGGATGTGAGTGTGAGCATGCGTACTGTGTGTACGTGTGTGAGTGTATGAGCATGTGGGGTGTGTGTGTGAGCGAGCCTGGTGAGTGTGTGTGTGACTGTGTATGAACGTGTGTGTGCCTAAATGTGCATGTGTGTGAACATGTATAAGAGTATGTGTGCATGTGTGTGTGAGCGTACAAGCGGGTGTCCTAGAGGGGCGGGGCCTGAGGGGTGGTTTGGCTTTGTGGAGGCCAGCAGGGGAACGTGGGGCGTGAGGTATGACAACAAGGATGGGGGTGGGGCGTGTAGCCCCAGAGGAGCAGGGGGGATGGCTGGAGGGGCTGCAGCTGATGGCCGAGGAGCACGGGATTCCTAGGGCAATGAGGAGCCATGGAAGGTTTTGACAGGGCAGGGAAGGGGCCAGGTCAGTTGGAAATGTCCCCTGGGCCAGAGTGGGGATGGGCAGGGGGCAGGCTTGGAGCGGTGAGAGGCTGGGGAGGACCAGCCAGGCACTGGGAGTAGCCCTGCCCTCTAGAAGGAGTTGCTAGGAGCCACGTCGCTGTCCATAATTGTCCGAATCTGCCACAGGGAAGACAGGCCTTAGAGAACCAACTCTCCTCTCAGCTGTTCTCAAAAAGGGGTGTGAGGAGCAGGGCAGCCTCAGAGCCTCCTGTCCCTTGCACTCTGGGCTCTGGGGCCTCAGTTTTAGTCCCTGGAGTGGCAGGATTCGGCCCACCATGAGGTCAGGCTTTCTCATGCACACAGCTGACCAGTGATGGGGCGCATCAGGGAGTGAGCTCTCCAGCAAAGGGGGCATGTGCCCTCTCTGATGGTTGGAGTCTCAGCCGTTCTCAGGTGTGAGTGACAGTTATAGGGTCCTCCATTTGGGTCCCCGTTGGTTCTCCCCGCCAGTTGGACTCTCCATTTTTGAGAGTGTGGCTGATAGTCAGGGTCCTCTACTGTGTGCCCCAGACGCGACCCCCTGGGCCCGGACACCCCACCTGTGCCCACAGGCGGCTGCACGGTCAAGTGCGAGACCCAGGATGCTAATCTGTGAGCTGTTCTCGCTGTGACGTGCGTGTCCTGCAGCTACGGGCGCACGGGCAGGACCGGCAGCTGCTGACATCTACGGTGCTCCCCCCGAGGGCCAGAGCTGGCGCGGTTCCAGGAACCCCAAAGTCCTGGCTACCTCCTTCCTTTCCCTCCTTGCTTGCCACTGCCACTGTAGGGTGCCTCCTCCAGCCTGGTGGTCAAGTTTGCCGACACCGACAAGGAGCGAACACTGCGGCGCATGCAGCAGATGGTGGGCCAGCTGGGCATCCTGACACCATCCCTCACCCTGCCCTTCAGCCCCTACAGTGCCTACGCCCAGGCTGTGAGTGACCCCAGCAGTTGCACTTCTGTCTCCAGCGGGGCTCCCAACACCACTCTGGGGGTCCCGCTCAGTCTCTCTCTCCATCCATGCTCTGTTGGGGGTTCTGCCTCTCTGCTCATCTTCTGTATCTTGCCCAATCTCTCTGACTCACGGTCCTATCCTGGTCATGGTTGAGTCCCCAAATCCAGGCTGATTCCTGAACCCCCACCCCCAGCTGAGCCCCCAACCATGAACTGAGCCCCAGGCCCAAGTTGAACCCTAACTCTGGACTGACACGACCCCATGCTTAGCCCCTGAATCTAGGCTGGGTCTCAAACCCAAAAGGAGCCTCTAAATCGAGACTCCAAACTGAGACCCAACCCTGGCTGAGTTCAATGTTGGCTGATCCCTGATCCCATACCAAGTCCAAATTCCTGCTTTAGCCCTCATCTCAAGCCTGAGTCCCGATCCTAGACTGAGCCTTGATCCCATGCTGAGCCCCAATTTCTAACTGAGCCCTGACCCCAGCCTGAGCCAAGATAGCCAGTCTGACCCCCTCCCCTCCCAAGTTACTTGAGGACCAGGCCTCCTCCCATGAGTCATGACCTCAGGGTAGCTGTCACCCCTATTGTGCACGCTGACTCCCTTTCCACCCCCAGCTCATGCAGCAGCAGACAACGGTCCTGTCCACGTCGGGCAGCTACCTGAGCCCTGGCGTGGCCTTCTCACCCTGTCACATCCAGCAGATTGGCGCCGTCAGCCTTAACGGGCTGCCTGCCACACCCATCGCCCCTGCCTCTGGTGAGAGTCCTCCAGGGGCCTAAGGATGGGTGGGCAGGGCAGGGCAGGGCCAGGGCCAGGCTCAGGCTTCCCATGGTGCTCCTCCATTCTGCAGGACTGCACTCACCCCCCCTGCTTGGCACCACTGCCGTGCCCGGACTTGTGGCTCCCATCACCAATGGCTTCGCAGGTGTCGTGCCCTTCCCTGGGGGGCACCCCGCCCTAGAGACTGTGTATGCCAATGGCCTTGTGCCCTACCCAGGTAATTGGAGTGGTCCCCTGGGATCTGGGGAGAGGGCGGGGAGGGTGTCTCTGGGGCAAGCATGAGTCCCTATGCCATGGTCCCTGGGAAACAGAGGGAGTCTCAACTGAACAGACGTGAGCTGTGGGCACAGAGAAAGGGCTGTAGCAGGGTGGTTAAAACATGGGAACTTTATATCCCGACATTTCTGGGTTCAAATTCCAGTCCGGTGGTCCCGGATGGTCTCTGTGAGTCTCTGGGCCTCAGTTTCTTCACCTGGGAAATAGGGCAGATGACATCAGTCATCTCAGGAGGTTGCACTGACAATGAAATTAGCGTGTCAAATGCTTAACACATCGCCTGTACCAAGAACAGCACCATCAATCTTAATTATTAATCGTCACTATTTAGGAAGATATCAGTACCCATATTCATTCATGCATCCATCCATTCAGTATTAGCCATGCACCGAATTAGGCTGGGCCCTACCTTTGGGAAGCAGAGGTCCCACCTTTCCTGACCCTACACCACAGTCCCCAGGCAAGCCTCCTCTGACATCTTGCTTAGGTGAAGTCATCTGCATTTCCACCATCGAGGAGAATTTATTTTTATTTTGAAATGATTGGAACTCACGGGGAGTTTCAAAAATAGTACGGAGAGGTCCCGGTCCCTCCAACCCAGCCCCGCCCCCATGCTAACAGCTTACATAACCCGAGCACATTGTCGAAACCAGGAAGCTAACATTGGTACAATACAATGAACTCAACAGGAGTTGGACACCTTATTCAGACTGCATCACTTTCTGTGTGCACTCATGTGTATGTGGGGGGGGGGGGTCTGTGCTATGTTATCACAGGTATAGTAGATTTGTGTAACCACCACCAAAATCAAGACACAGAACTGCTCCATCTCCATGGGGTGATTCGTTCATGTGACCCCTTTATGGTAACCCCCCCCCACACACACACCCATCCTCTAGTAACCTCTCTCCATTCGAGCAGAATCTTTTGGCTGAAATTTCCCCCTGATGCACCAGCTCTAGTGGTCTGGACAACCTCTCCCCTCCCCTTACCTCCTCCCCTGGGAGCGATTGGGAGGTCACAGCCACATGGGGGTTCCACGGGGTGTCTGATGAGTGAGGCTTGGAGTGGGAGAGAAGGAAACGGATGGGGGTGGAGGGTGATCAGGAGCAGAGGCCTGAAGTCCTGGAGAATCCAGAGAATAAAGGGGAAGAGCGAGGGGGTCCGGATGGGGACAGAGAGATGGGGGTGATGGTTAAGCCTCTCTGGAGTCCTGTTCGACTTCTGCCATTTCCTATCTGAGTGGCCCTGTGCCAGTTGCTTCACCTCTCTGAACCTCAGTTTTCCTGCCTGTAAAATGGGGACCATACCTGTAAAAAGTTTATGCAGAGGTGAAGCTGGGGCGGATGTTTGTTGCTCTCCTTCTGGGTCCTAAGTATCGGGGGTGGATGGAAGATCTGCTGCCCCCGTCCCACTCAGCCCCTCCGTCTGCCCCGCAGCTCAGAGCCCGACCGTAGCCGAGACCCTCCATCCCGCCTTCTCCGGAGTCCAGCAGTACACAGGTACGGGGGCAGTCAGGCCCAGTCTCGGGCGTGGCCCCGCCCCCTTGGCCCCGGCTTTCTTCCTGTCTAGCCCCTCCCCCTTAGCCACAACCCGCTTCTGGCCCCGCCTCTCAAGGGCCGCCCTTTCGTTTGGCCTTCCCTCTTGCACCTAACCACGCCTCCTACTTCTGGCCCTGGCCCAATCCCAGGTTTTGGCCACACACACCCCCGCCCCTTGCAGCGTCTGGTCCCGCCCCTCATATCCTGCCCCGCCCTCAGCCATGGCCCTGCCCCTCAAGCTCTGGCCCCACCCACCCGATCTTGTGTGGCCTTGGCCCCTCCTTCAGGCCCGCCCTTGGTTGTGGCCACGCCCCCTCCTGATGCCAGGCATTGACCCCACCCCCTTGCGGCTCTGCCCCACTCTTCCCTGTGCCTTGGCCCCTTCCCTAGGCCCGCCCTCCGCCGCGGGCACGCCCCGCCTCCCTCCCTAGACCTCCGTGGCCCCGCCCCCGCCCGCCGCGGGCCGCCCACCGGCCTCACACCCGCCTCCGCCCTGTGTCTCGCTCCCGGTCTCCGCAGCCATGTACCCCACCGCGGCCATCACGCCCATCGCGCACAGCGTCCCCCAGCCGCCGCCCCTCCTGCAGCAGCAGCAGCGAGAAGGTGAGGGGGCCGCGACCTCCCCCGGGCGCCAGCCCCGCCCTCTGACCGCCCCCTCCACCTCCAGGACCCCTGGCCTGGCCTGGCGCGCGGCCTCGGGGAACCGCGGCTCAGAGCGCGGCCGGCTGGCCGGACAGACCTGGGTTCGAGTTCTGGCGCGGCCCCTGGGTGTTCTGGGGGAACTGAATCACCCTCTCTGAGCCTCGGCTCCCTCCTCTGGAAAGTGGGAACCGTAGGACTAGCGGTGACCCCACCACCCCCAGCCGCCCTCTCCAGGACTGGACGAATCTCTGAATTTTTGGAAAGGACGCTCGTCTTGAGGTCGGGCGGGGGGCGGTACGAGGTATCTCGGGGAAACTGAGGCCTCGCCAGTAAAGTGGAAAGAGGGAGGAGTTAGATCCTGGAGTCCGACAGCCAGGATTCAGATCCACCCAGTTCTGACTGTGACATCATAAGGAAAGCTTCACTTCACTGCCCTGTGCCTCAGTTTCCTTTTCTGCAACAGGAGCGACCATCTGGGTCAAGAGGCCTTACTAGGAAGGAGGCAGGGCCGTTCCTGACACACAGTGCAGCTCAGCACCCAGGAAGGCCCTTTCCCTTGTCCATCCAGCTAGTGGGGGTGGGGGAGAGGTGACCAACTTGCCCCATGGCCAGGGGAGCTCCGCAGTTGGCCTGGCCTGCAGACCGAGTTCTTTGGGACTCTGCCCCACTTCTCCCTTGCCCTTGGCCCTTGGAAGGGGGCACTGCCAGGATACAGGAGCTGAGCTTTGGAGGCGAGCCCTAGGCCGAGGGGTCCCCAGCTCTGCCAACCAGCTGCTACCCCGTTCTCCGTCAGATTTTATATCTCCAGGGGGCTCTGTGGTTAAAGTCACAGACAGAACAGGCATGAGGACTTGGCAGCTCCAATGTGACTTTCAGTGACCTCCCAGGACCCCCGGGACCCCCCACCCAGGGCGGGCCAGTGCAAGCTTCAGAGAGGGTCCAGCTGCCTCAGGTCACTGTTTTGTGGATGGCTCGGACCTGGGTGTCTCTCTCCCCGGTCCCTGCTCCACCTTCCCTCCACCTGGGCTGAGGGGGTAAAAGCTAGTGCAGAGGCGGTCAGCGCTGCTGTAACTCACGACCAGCGCTCTGGAGAGTGCCCACAGCATGCAGAACAATCTGCAAGACTCCTGCTAGCACCATTCCAAACCTCTGTCCGTGACATGTCAAAGCAAAACTAAAGATGGAGCCCTAATAAAAATGGTAGCACAGTGTTATGCACGTGAGCAGGTTAAAAAAATACGCTCGGTGTGGCATTTTATCCTGGCAAAGAGCTCAGGTTTGCACGTGGAGGTGGCATTGGTGGGAAGGGTTGCAGCCGCGGGCTGCTGCGAAGTGGCGGAAAGAGGCTTGTCTGAAGTCAGGCGGGGTGTCGTAACCCCGGGCGGATGGGGATGCGTGTGGCTCACGACACACCTGGGGAGCTGAGGGAGTGGTAGGCGTTCCCGCTGTGTGTTCTCCTGAGGTCCAACTCAGCTGGGTGCGGCCTTCTGCATCCACCCCGTGTTTCCTGGAGATGAGGTAGCGCACAGGCACACCTAACATTTGTGTTGCGGTCAAGACTGCGCGGTCCGAATCAACCACGATGATCGCCTTGGGACACACTTGCATTTTAAAAACAAGCGTTCGTAGAGCTGTGGACCTAATCAGGAAGGTGAGGGTTGGATGTCAGTGGGACACTGGACAAAATCCAATCTTGGATTTTGTATTTCCTGGGGTGGAGAATACTCATTTCCAGGCCGAAGGGGATTCTTGGTGGTTGGGGGGTTCCCCGCGTTTTGTGGGGGCATGGGAGAAGGTCATCTGTTGGTTTGGGATTAGGGGCAGGTTTGGAGACTGTTCATGGCTTCAGATAAGAAGGTTTTTAAATTTGATTGTTATTTATAGATTTTACATTACTCGTGCATTGGGGATTATTTGGGGAGGGGATGGTTTTGAGAGTTAGCTGTGCTTTTAAAAAAGTATTTCTGGTTGGTATAGTATATCATTTTAAAATTCCCAGGTGGGGGCGGGGATCGCCTGGCTGGCTCAGTCAGTAGAGGACATGACTCTCGATCTCAGGGTCGTGAGTTGGAGTGCCACGTTGGGCATGGATCTTACTTAAAAATAAGTAAAAATATAATAAAATTACCAGGGGATTTGGGGGCTAGATAATTTTTTTTGTCTTACTTGATTTTATTTTTATGTCATGTGGGTTTTGAAAATTATTCAAGGTTTGGAGGATTATCCATGGTTTTGAAAACTAGATATTTGGGGTTTGGGACCAGGGAATGACTTGTCTTACTTTATTCTGTGATCATCGGACTTGTAAAACATGAACATTTTATTTTAAAACCAGTCTTAGATTTACAGAATTAGTGCAAAGATAGAGCAGAGTGTCCGCATACCCCACATACAATTCATCTGATGTCGTAAATGGTCTGGAGTTTCCGGTGTAGGGATTTTTCAGGGGTTTCCGGTTGTCTGGGATTTGGGGATTATCCAGGTTCTGGCATTGAGGGATTTATCTCAGTTTTGCGGGGAGGGACCATCTGAATTTTGTAAATTATCTGGGACCTGAGGATCATCAGAGGTTCGGTGTACCTGAGTGTGGGATTAGACAGGCGAGGGTAAGCGCGCCCTGCCTCCCTTCCCCACCTTTCCACGCCCCTGCTTCCTGGTGTCACGGGCACCCTCCCCCAACAGCTGGAGATGCCAGAGGTGGGCTCCAGTCCCGCGCCCCTCCCCCGGGGGGGTCCGCCTCCTCTCCTTGGGGGCTTTATGTCTTTCTCTCCCCCACCTGCAGGTCCCGAAGGCTGTAACCTGTTTATCTACCACCTCCCCCAGGAGTTTGGAGACACGGAGCTGACGCAGATGTTCCTGCCCTTCGGCAATATCATCTCCTCCAAGGTGTTTATGGATCGGGCCACCAACCAGAGCAAATGTTTTGGTGAGTACCTGGAGTACCTGCTGCAGGCACCCCTTCCTGCTTGCCAGCCCCGTCCCCGACTCCGCCCGCCAAGGAACAGGGGTGTGGGAGGGTGTGGTCAGCCGTGAGACAGGTGTGGTCCAAAGAATAACATTTAGAAGTTAGAATGAGCACTTATTAAGGACCTACTGTGTGCCAGGCACCATGCTGGATGCTGGTACAGAGCAGTGAAGGAAGCCAACAAAATTCCTGCCTTCCAAAGCTCGCAGTCTTGCTGCACTGCCCAACAGAATTTTCTCCACCCGCGGAGATGTTCTCTGCCGTCTGAGTCATCAGCCACACGTGGCCGCCAGGCACCTCAAGTGTGGCAGTTCAACCACAGAACCGAAGGTGTAGTTTTCACGAATCTAATACCACCTGTGGCCAGCGACCAGGGAGTCAAAAAGCACAGGTTTACGGGTAGGAGGTGAGAATAAACAAGGCAGGACATAGGCCAGGGGGTTATAAATGGCATGAAGAACACCATCACCATCTACTCCTAAGGACATAGAAGCTGGTATGCAGGAGGTGATGTTTCAGCTGAGACCCAAATAATGAGATTTCCCAGCCCCAGGACATCGGGGTACAGGGTTCCGGGCAGAGGGAGCATCACATGCAAAGGTCCTGGGGCAGAACTAGGCCTGGTGTGTTGGAGGGCCAGCCAGGAGGCCCATGTGGCTGGAGCAGAGCGAGTGAGGGGGAGCGAGGGAGGAGGGGAGGGCAGGGAAGGGACAGGGCAGGGAGGGGATGGGGCAGGGAGGGGACGGGGCAGGTCGTGCGGGGCCTTGGACACCTCCAAGTCCACACAGCAGCAAAGAGGCAGAACCTAGACTAGAACCAGTCTGTTTGACTCTAAAATGTGGACTCTTAATCCCACCCTGTTGTATTCAAAAGGCCAACCGTTGCCTATTTAGTAAGCACCTCCTGTATACACTCAATATCCAACCATGAAATACAAGAATTTAGTGAGGGAGGACGAGAGGCACAGAGTGGTCAAATAGCACACTTGAGGTCACACCAATAAGGGTCTCTGCCCGTGCCCAGGCCCCTCCTCAGCATCCTGCTTGCAGGACAAAGAAGGCAATGCATGGAGGACAACCCTCAATACCTCTCAACAGTGAGGAGTCCTATGCCTTCTCTGAGCCTCAGTTTCCTGATCAGTATGGTGGGGGGCAGGTGTTAGGGAAGATGCTAGATGTGAAGATGTCCCCCCCCAGCTCCACATTCCCCCATAGCTCCCCAGTGGGCCCCTGCAAGACCGTTCAACCCTGCCCCGCCATCTCTCCACCTGACCCTCCACCCGGCCTCTCACACAGAGCTCAGGGATCCCCGCCTCAAATGCTTGTGCATGCAGACCCTTGCCCCAGAGGGCCCCTGACCCCTGTGGCCTCCACACCATCCCGGGAAGCCTGTGAAGACCAAGAAGTGAGGGGCAGGAGTAGGGCAGGGTGGCCTGGGGTGGCAGGTGGAGGGATTGGGGCTGATGGAAGCTTGAGGAGCACCAGGCTAGGATGTTTCTGATTGCCTGGTGGGAGGGGGGGAGATGGGGGTAGGGAGACAGAGAGAGACAAAGAGAGACAGAGAGATAAAAGGCAGAGAGAGGAAGAGGACAAGAAGGACAGAGGGAAGAGACACAAGGACACTCACACAGAGACAGAGAGTCCGATTCACAGTCAAGATCCCAGATGGATAGCAGTTAGCATCCAGGGTCTGGAAGGAGGCAGGCACCCAGGATGGGAAGGGAGGGAGAATGTGGCCCTCCCAGGACCCCCAGAGGCCTCACCTGTCCCCTCCACCTGTGGGAAGTCTCAGCAGAGCAGACCCCAGGTAAGGAGCAAGCACCCCGTCCCCAGAGGCATGCAAGTCCAGAGGGTGTCAGAACCAGGCCCCGGGCTGCTGTGTGTGCTCTGGCGCGCCCTCCTAACTCCCTGGGCCCATCTGCCCCTGCGAGCGCACACCCCCCGCCCCCAGGACCCCGCGAGCCGGGAAGCCGGGGCCGCAGCACTGGAGGACGCGGAGGACGCCCACGTTGCCCACCATCGCGGGTCCACCCCGGTCTCCGCAGGCTTCGTGAGCTTTGACAACCCGGCCAGCGCGCAGACGGCCATCCAGGCCATGAACGGCTTTCAGATCGGCATGAAGAGGCTCAAAGTGCAGCTGAAGCGGCCCAAAGACCCGGGACACCCCTACTGACCGCGCCCACAGCCGCCCGGAGGCTGCGGGCCTGGCCCAGGTGAGCCGCCAGGCGGCCCCACCCACACCCCGCCCCCACCCCGTCTTGGCCAAACACCCCCTCATTCTCCAAACCCTCCCCAGCCCCGGGGGATGCTGCTGGAGGCCACGAGGAGCCCCCAGGTTGGGTTGGTGAGGACAGAGCTAGACTAGAGTCACCCCCCATTCCCCTTACAGTCAGGGCTGGGACAGAGGGTGTAACCAGGGTCCAGGGGTGGTTGGGGAATCCTTTCAGAAGAAGGCTTTGAAGGATGAATAGAAGTTCTCCTGAGAGGCCAGGTTTGGTCTGGGGTGGGGTGGGCTGTGGGGAGGGGCTTCTGTCCTATCCTATGAATCTCACAGCTGGGCCCCTGTCATAGCTCCTTATTTGGTGTAATTCATGCTCAGTGGACTGGTGAGAAAGCGGAATGTTTGCCCTGCTCACCAGCATGCCCCCCTCCAAAAAAGATACCCCCAAACACATCCCCAAGAGTGTATTTTGCCATCAGAGAGAACAACTTTATCGACAACTAAACACCTTCTTCGGGGAATGAACAGTGAGCCTAAGGGGCCAGTGGGGAAACGTAACTGACCGCAAACCTTGACGAGCCTCATCTGTGGAATGGGTTCGTGAAAGTCGCCTCCCGAGAGGCAGCAGGGAGGATCCGCTTGGGGATGCGGTGTTTTCCCAGCCGAGCCCAGGACCCGCCACCTGGAAAGCTCTTGATCATTTGTTTTTTCTTTTTTCAATCACGAGCGCCGTCGTCATCAAAGTGCCTCGCCTGGGGTCTGGTGCGAAGTAGGTGCTCAGTTAGGGGCTGCTCATGCTTTTCAGACCCTGTCAAATCAGCACCCACAGATAAGCGGGTATTCAGTCGCGGGATCAGGCAACTAACAGACGCCCCGTGCACCTGAACACTCTGGGACAGCAAATCCTTACTGAGCACCTACTATGTGCTAGGCTCTGTTTCCAGCGCTTGGGGACACAGCTGTGAATGACCAGAAACGGGGCGGGGGTTGGGGGGAGAGCTGCCTCTGTGGAGCTGCTCCCTGTGGCAGGGAGCGGGGGAGGGGAGACAAGAATAAACACAACTCTTGGCCCCAGGTTGTGGGAGGAAATGGGCTCAGCGACCCAAAGTCCCTTCCCAGGCAGTTTGTTGGCCTCCGAATCTGGAAATGGACTCTCTCTCTGAAAAGATAGGGGCCCTTGGGTTCCCAGAACCCAGCCTGGCCAGGGCAGGGGGTATGGGTGGGAGGCGATGTCGTAGGCCAGCAGGCCCCGCATCACCGCACCCTAACGCCCCTCCCTTCTCCGCCAGGTGAGGGGCCTTCCCACCCCAGGAGGGCCTCCCGCTTCCAACCGATCCCGGACCTTTCCGTAAATTACAACCGAGTTTGGACACCAGCCCTCCCTCTCCTCTCCCGTCTCCCTTGCCCCCCCATCCCCTAATGTGAAACACTACTGAAGGCCACGTGGAGCGGGGAGGGGGCTTCGTGGTCTGCACCAGCGCTGGGAGGAGGGGGCTCCTGAGTTGGGGGCCAAGGGGTTCACCGCCCCCCTCCTTGGTGGCTCCCCAAACTAAATCACAACTTTTCCTATATATATATATGCATATATATATAGAGCTATAGACAGTATATATATTTTTTGAGTATAGATCATGGGACCAAACTTTTCCGACTTCCTTCCATCCAAGAGAAGGTGACCCTGGCCTGGTCACTCAGCAGGGACATAAGAAGGGCTGAGGATGACCGGGCAGCCCAGTGTCTCCCCATCTCCCGCTGTCATGTCAGACCAGGGCACCGAGAAGCACTGGGAATCATCAGCCAACGCGATATACCTCCAGGACTTTGGGCCCCTGCCGCCGACGGCTCTCGCAGGCCTTTGGGCTCAGCCAGCTCGAGTGTCCCTGGTCTTAGCTGCAGCTTCTGGAACCCCTACCCCCTCCCTCGCCCCAGGGCCCTGCCTTCCCCGATGTAGGCACAAAAGAGACCCCCCCGCCTCCCCCCGTCATAGCCTTACTCATGTGACCAATAGCCCTTAGCTTTCCGTCAGGGGCAGACAGGGTCGGGGGAGCCCCCCGCCCCTCGTGCCCCCTCCCGAGGGCAGGCAGCCACCCTCCCTGCCTTCGGATCACCAGCCTGGAGTTCACGATCTCATGACCAAGATTGCCAAGCGCGTTGGACAAGCCAACCTGCACCGGCCCAGCTCCCCTTTACCAGAGATACCTCTACAAATATTTCTTTTTTTAAATTTTGGTCTTTCTGAGCAGATACAAAGAAGTAAAGAGAACAAAATGGGGGGGGGGAAATCAGACGACAGTGGATTTTTCTTTCCTAGTCGGGGCGGGGAGGGAGGTCTTGCGGGGGCATCTCTGTATAGCTACTCAAACCGTGAAAACCCACTTTGAAGCACAGAGTCAAGTTCGTTGGACGTCAGTAGGGCCTCTTGCCAAGTGAGGCACCAGAGAACTTAATAAGCTCAAGAAAAAAACAATTTGTAAAGAAAAAAAACAGCATTCCCTTTTGTTTCTACCAAAATGTGTTGACTGACCCAGAAAAAACAAAAACAAAAACAAAAAAAAAACACAAAAAAAACACATAGCAAAAAAAAAAAAAAAATCTTATGACCAACTTGTTTCGATATTCCAGAGTTTGATAATTGTTCCGAGACACTCTAGCGTGCCTGTGTCCCGTGCGTCTGCGTGTGCAAGCGCGTGCCCAGGGGCCACGAGGGGGCCTCGTCCGCGTCCCCGGCACCTGCCAAGCCCCCGCCAGGCCTGCTTGGGAGTGCGTGGTGGTGCGCAGTGGCGTGTGTCCTTCTGGTCCATGTTTACCGGCTGTAAATACCATTTTTATACTCCACATCGAAGACCTACGTGATTTGTACGATGTACTTTATTTCTGCTACGAGTAATTTCATGAAGTTTCAACTTGCAAACCGACTTTTGGAGACAAACCGCCACACACACACACAGAAAAGGAAGACGAGAAAGGGACTTAGAGGGAACTTTGGGTTGACTTGGTTTGAATTTCTGGCTGGAGAGATCCTTGTCACTGTGGCGTGTTCAGGTGAGAAGCTGCGAGCATCATCTTAATGTCCAAACGCCTCTCTTTGGTCTGGAGAAACTGAAAGTTTATTTAATAAAAGTTTTACTTGCTAAAGGACCGGGTCCTCCCTTATTTGCCCTCTCCTCATCGATAAAGACCGAGCGCGTCTGGCCCGAGTTGCCTGGGCAGGAGGAAAACCCCAGATTTCAAGTCAGGGGATGCAGGAGGAGATATTCCAAGAATACTCCCGTGACCGAGATTCCCTCTGATTCGTCCGGAAGTGGAGGCGATAGGACTCTTCCTTCTCCAGGAGAGCAGGTGCCTGTGATGACAGATTCACACGCTTATTCAGTCCGCAGACACCTGCCGAACCCCTTCTGTGCGCCCGGGTGGCTCTGGTCTCTGCCCTCACGGAGGCGGCCCCGCGGAGCGGAGAGACACTCTACAATATGCATTTTCTTTAAGTTGAGGTAGAATTCACATAACATGACATTCACCATTTTTACCATTTTAAAGTCTACAATCCAGTGGCATTAAGTACATTCACAAGGTTGTGCAGCCACCGCGTGTGCCTAATTCCAGGACATTCTGACCCGCAGAGGCAACTCCCGTCCCCGTGAACAGTCGCCTCCCTCTCCCCAGCCGCCGGCCCCCACGAGCCCCTTTCCCGCCGGTGAATGAGCCTGTTCTGGACGTGTCACACACGTGGACTCACACCCCTTGTGGGGGGCAGTGTGTGTGGGCACCTCGCTCCAGCACCTCAGACAGAACAAGGCCAGTTGGGGTGGGAGCTGGAAAGCTGAGTCTGAATCCGCCTGGAAGGGTTTTCTGGGTGGAAGGAACAGCCTGGGCAAAGGCTCAGAGGCTGAGATGTTGTGGAGGTTGGACGGTCAGCCAAGATGCAGCACTGGCTGGAGAAGCAGATGTAGAGGTGGGAGGGACTCAGCTACAGAGGGCCTCTGGTGATTAAGCAGCTACCAAGTGCCGGACTTTGTCTCCACCTTCCAAAGGCCCCAGTCAAGGAGGAAGGTGGGCAAAAAACCAGAAGTGCCCAGCCCTGCAGGAAAAAGTAATTCCAGAGGGTGCTACAAGTTGTAACTACAATGAGATGAACAAATCTGGGCTATTATCTTGAGGGTAAAGAGGAACCACAGAAGGGCTTGGAGCAGGGGAGAGGCATGATCATACTTGGGTATGAGAAGGTCACCAGGGTGACCTCCATGCTGCTGCGGGGATGCAAATCAGCACTCTGGAAGATAATGTGGCAGGACAATCGTCCTACCAAGCGTTTACTAAGCACTTACGATTTGCCAAGCATTGTTTCAAGCCTGAGTCATACACGGCAGTAGCCACTAACCACATGTAGTTATTTAGAGGTAAATCAATTTACAAAATTATAAATTCACTTGGCCAAATGAAGCCACATTTCAAGGACTCAAGAGCTGTATGTCCATCACTGCATGAAGTTCTCGTGGATAGCATAGTGCTGAGCGTTTTCTATGACTTAACTCACGTAACCTGCCACCACCCTGTGATGGGTGTCCTGATGACAGCCCCGTTCTAGGAGTTACTACTAAACTGAGGCCCAGAGAGAGTAAGTGGCTGCCAGAGGCAGCTCAGCAGGAAGGGAATCCTGGCCCTCTACCTGGCTCTTACCCACTTCCCTGCAGTACGTAGTGGCTAAAATTTAAATATATTAGATTGTAATTCAAGTTATTATTTGTAATACTCCAACTGAAGCTTTTGAGTGTAACTCAAAGTTGTTGAACGTTTGGAATGTACATCCTTACAATACAGCAGTTCTGGCTGGGTGTGTCCACGGAGTGAACAGGCGTATGCCTGACATGGCCGAGCCCTCCTGTGATGTCGGTGTTCATCCGGGGGGATAGGCTAAGTGACAGGCAGGGTGTATCAGTTAGTTATTGCTGCATAACAAATACCCCCCCACACACACAATTTAGCAGCTTAAAGCAACACACGTTTATTTTCTCAGGGTTTCCGTGGTCAGCAATCCAGGAGCAGACGTAGCTGGGTGGTCCTGGCTCGGGGTCTCTCATGAGATTGTGGTCAGCACATAGGCCACCTGGGGCTGCCTCATCTGAAGGCTGGATCGGGGCAGGAGGAGCCGATCCTGCCGGCTCCCTCACGGGGCTGCTGGTGGGAGGGAGGCCTCAGCTCCTCACCACGTGGGCCTCTCCGTGGGGCTGCTCATGACCTGACAGCTGGCTTCCCTGTGACCCAAAGGAGGAGAGGGGGAGGGACAGAGAGAGAGAGACAGAGAGAGAGGGAGGGAGGATGCTGCCTTCTATGGTCTGTCTCCAGGTCACACACCATCACCTGTGCCTCATCCATGTGGCTGTCAGAGTACACAACCCTCTCCAGGCCACATCATCTGATGAAAAGAGATTTGCAGAAAAGTACAGCAGGAAATATCGTGTGTGTGTGTGTGTGTGTGTGTGTGTGTGTGTAAAATATGCATTCTGTCCAGGGACGTGTGTATGATCGTAAAGATGAGGAGGACTAGACGTGTATTCACCAGGATGTTGAAGGAGGAGGCTTTGGGGGAGTGAGAAACTGGGGGTCAAGAGGACGAACAGTTGAGACTTACCTGCAATCTTTACGGGGTTAATATATTCAGGCATTATTTAGGAAATTAAGAATTCATTTTAAATACATTTTGTGAAGATGCAAGAATGGAAAAGGCAGGTATGGGAGGAATTTTGGGAAAGTGCCAACATTTCACATGACTGCTCCACATGGCAAAGGCCAGCAACCAGTGAGGAGCTGAGTCCTGCCAACAACCACACAAGTTTGGAAGTGGGTCTTTCCCCCGTCGAGCCTTCAGATGAGACCCTGCCCTGGCCAAGCCCTTGAGTGCAGCCCATGAGAGGCCAGGAAGCAGACAGAGAGCCCAGCGAAGCACCCTCAGATTCCTGACTCACAGAAACTCAGATAATGAATGGTTTAAGCCACTAAATTATAAGACTCCCAATCTTTTTTTAATTAATTTTTTTTATTAATGTGACAGAGAGAGAGAGAGAGGGAATATGAGCAGGGGAGAGAGGCAGAGGGAGAGGGAGAAGCAGACTCCTCGCTGAGCCAGGATCCTGATATGGGGCTTGATCCCAGGACCCTGAGATCATGCCCTGAACTGAAGGCAGATGCTTAACCATCTGAGCCACCCAGGTGCCCCAAGACTCCCAGTCTTAAAGAGAACTTCGACACAGTTCAGATCCCTACAATCGTTTCCAAAGAACTGGACAAACTGATTCTCAAAGTCATGCAGATAATTGAATTGTAAGGGAAGCCAGACCAGAATGTGCCAAAACGAAAGGCTGGTTATTGGGCACATACTGCCTGCCGGGCACGGTTCCCTAAACCAGCATGCCATCGATGCCCGTGGGTTTTATCTCCTTCCTTATTCCCTGGAGCCTAGCCCAGGGTTTGAATCCCAGTTATGACACTTGTCAGGACAGTGGCCGATCCCTCGGCTCAGATCTCTCAGTGTCACCCCTCTGCAAAATGAGGTTAATCGGGCACCCCGTTTTGAGGGTTGTTGTGGGAATGAACGAGTTAATATTTAGAAAGCCCAGCCCGGCGCTACTTAAGTGTCAAATCAATCCCTTTGAAAGTTTCCAAAGGCTTCATCCCAGGATACCAGCAGGGGGCAGCAGAGACCCACGCCTTCGTCCAGTATTGCTGTCACCATTTTGAAAGACCGCAAGCATTTATTGAGCACCCACTGTGTGCCCCGCACGGCTCTGGGGGCTGAGGGAGGTGGTGAAGAGAGACCCCTGGGCTCTCTGCTGGGACACAAAAGCCACCCTGTCCAAATTTCTTAACCTGTCCCTTAAAGCCGTTGGGGTCAACCCCACCTCCCATCTGGCCTTGCTCCTTTGTAGGCTGAATGCGGTCCGGCCACCCGGGCTTCGCCCTCCTTCCCAACCCCGGGTCCTGAGATGCTGGATTGGGACGGAGGCACACGTGATCTTCTGAGCCCAGACAACAGCACTGGCCATCCTGGAGAGGGAGGTATTAGCCATGTCCTAGTGACGGAACAGGGGCCCTTCGACTCAGAGGACGCAAGCAGGGTGCATGGTGATCAAACTAGGGTACCATGGGTTAGGGTTAGGGTTAGGGTTAGGGAACGTGCACTCGCAGGCCCCCCTCTGGGTTCCCAGGACCTAATGAGCGAGTCAAGGTCTGCTTGCCCTCGGGCCGCCTCTTTCTCTCTCCAAACTTCAGTTTCCTCATCTGTAAAATGGGACTCGTGATGGTATGCATCATCCAGGACTGTGGAGACCATCAGGGAGATTAATTAATGCACATAAATAACAATCGTCGTCATTTTCATGTAATACGACGAAGGCAAAACAGAACCGCCTCCTCCCAAATCAGAAAAGCGAACTCCCAGACATCACTCCTACTGGAGTCGGGCGTCGACAGCATTTGTTGAGCACCTGCTGTATGCTGCACACCGTGTAGGTCCTGGAGGCCCCACAGGAAACAAAATGCACAAAATTCCCGGTGGGGGCTTCCAGCACGGCGCCCCGCCCCCAGCCCCGCCTTCTCTCCGCCCCCTCTCTTTCCTGAGCCTACCAGAGTGAGGTGGAGGTGGGGGTGATCTACATATTCATGAGCTCACCAGCCAGTCCACAGCCGGAACTCGGGCCACTCTTAGAGCCTTAGTGAGTGACGTACTAAGTAATCCTTAAAGGGACAGTAACGGCCTATAGAGAAAGGGAGTCTGGAACTTAAGAGTGACACATACCTGCCTCTCTTCGGAAGTCTATACAATGCAGGATGGGGTGTGCCAGGCATAGAAACCGGCTCAGACCAATGGCAGCGAAGGAGCTTTGCCATCCTGGGTGAAGTCCAGGGACAGGTTTCGATCGCTCAGTCCCTAGCAAGCACTTCACTCCAGCACCGGGTTTGCCGCGTTGCAGCTAGAACTTCAGCACCGGGGGTCGTGGACAGATCCAGGGCCTAGACGGAGGGTCCTGTGCCGGTGGGGGGACGGTGTGGAGGGCGTTCTGGGGACAAGATCCAGAAAGAACCCCAGGCCCTCAGCCAGCCCAACAGGAACAAGGGCCTACTCTTTCCCTGCCTGTCTGCCC